GAAACTACACAAGCTACATGTCAGTATCAAGGATTAATGGTATGTACTTGGGAATTCAGTTTAAAAGCTGGCATTTTAAAGATTTATCTCACAAGAGAAATCTAGGTTGCTGTATTAAGCAGTCAAATCCGAACATCATGGTGGCAAAAGTGTAATAATCACTAATGCACTGGTAGTTGTCTGGTTGACAGGGATGTGTATAGGACCTGAATTGAAGGCCAGATGTACATTTATCACACATCTGGTTTACTGTGTCAGAGGTCCTCCTATTTCTACTCTCTGCCTCTAAAAGTGAGGATACTTCTGAGCTGTCTCATATTTGCCATTTCCCTTTCCTTCCCACCTTCCCTGCCCTGACTCACATGACTCTACTGCAGGCCCCTGGGGCTTCCTGAAGAGTCTTTGTGCTGCTCATGTCTCCGTCTTCCTCAAGGGTAGTGGTGCCTCTGCTTAGGCTTTTCTCCTCCTTGGATAGGGACCCAGGCTTCCAGTGGAGCCCAGAGAATTTGTCATACGTGTATCATCTATCACAAAAGAAACAATGCTGGGACACTGTTCTCCATCACGTAGGTAGTGATTTTCCTCATGTAGTCATGACTGCTGTCACAAGCAGCAGGTGCTATTGTGTAGCAAGGGCAGACAACCACCACATCAGTGCCTCTTTCTCACATCAAGAGAGCATCTTCACAGCTTCTTTGTGCATAGAGGATCTGTCTTCCCCATTTCCCCAGTTCCAGGCCCCAGGCTCTTGTCTTCCCTGCTCCTTCCTGGAAAACCACTCTAAAATCTTCCATTTGGATTAAAATCTTCTCCCAAATTTATTTAAGAGAGTTGATTGAAATATAGTGTGGCAACAGTTTAATAAATGATGGCTATTATTATGTTTACTGTTTATTCATAGAGCCAGATAGCAATATTTTTTTCTCAGTTCAAGGACTAGCTGCAAGGTTTTATGTAAATTTTGTTTTAAAAATACAACATGATAGCGGCGGTGCCTGTAGCTCAAGGAGTAGGGCACCAGCCCCATATACCAGAGGTAGCAGGTTCAAACCCAGCCCCAGCCAAAAACTGCAAAAGTAAATAAATAAAATGCTAAAAATACAACATGATGTATTAAAGAAGGGCAAATTTCATAGCTTATCATTGGCCATAAATATTTTCCCCAGAGATTCCAGACCTCATTCCTGTGCTTCTTCTTTAGAAATATAGAAAAGTGGATCACAGTTTTCTATATAAGCAGTTGCTCTTTAGAATTATACCACTTTTTAAACTTCTGTTACAAATAAGACAAAACTTAATGGAAGTAGTTCGGATTGCATGTGAAAACCCCACACTGTACCCCAGAAGTGCATTAATGTACATAGTTACCATTCACTAAAAAAAAATAATAAGACAAAACTCCCTTATTAATAAGTTGAATTTTTAAATCTTTCATAAAGGAGACTTATTATTTCATGAACAAATTACAGAGTTTTGCTACACTAATTCACCAACTATCTACTGCTGGGTATCTGAATAAAGTTTAAAAAGCTGTAATTCTTATGTCACCAATAATTTTGCTCTCTATTTATAAGACTTATAATTACAAATTTTTGTGGCTAAGATTTTTTTGTTTGTTTAACCTTTTTGGATATTTCTGCATCTTCCCCATAGAGGATGGAAATCAAAGATAGTGAAGGCAGTGCAGACACAGGAACCTCCTCCATTCTGATTTATAAAAACACCCTAGCAAAATACTAGGAAGCATTGAGTTAGCTGAAGTCACAAGCTCAGTGGCTCTACCCATTGGGTTACAAGCTTATGTGCAGGGGTACATAACAGCTAAGAGGATTTTGGAGTCCTCAGTGGAGAAGTCTAATGTAGTCCTGTGCAGAACAGAATACTGAGCACCCGTGACTCCGGCCACATGACTGCTATTGATAGTCCCTATTTTGTTCTTTGTTCTGAGCTGTCTCCCAACATCTTAGTTATGCTGGTCTCTTCAGTGATCTGGATAGCGTGAAGTTGAAGCTGCTTTCCTGGGAAGTTCCAGAAAATTTTAGGAAGCAAGTTGTTCATCTCACCCTTTGTTTCCCTTCACAAGATAAGGAGTTCCATCTCTGTGCTCAGGAGTGCTGGCCTGGAGGAGGTGGGGTGAGACAGGCAAAATGATATTATTCTTCCTACTCCTTTTTTGTAACAGCTATTCTCAGGATTTTACTTTTTGCTCTATTGTAGCTTCTTAAGTAGCCTCCTGAGCTCTTCCAGTGGGATTTTCCTTCATACATAATTGCCAAATTGTTGCTCTTTGTGAAAGGAAGGAAGACTGGGATCTCCTATGCCACCATCTCACTAACATTACCTTTCCAAATCTTAATTCTCTTGATAGTATGCTATAAATCCCATAGATTTTCTTCATTCTTATTCTTACTTTTTCTTTGTTCTCCTCTGTCAAAGATATTTTTAAATGACCTGTATGCAAAGTTCACAGATTATTTCTTTGGCTTGATCAAGTCTGCTTCTCTCTCTCTCACTCTCCCTCTCTTTCTCTCTCTCTCATTTTTCATTTTATTTTTCAGCTCCAGAATTTATTTCTGTTTGTTTTTTTCATTAGTCATTGAATTATTAACTTCTTCAGCTTCAAATTTTCTGTTTGGTTCTTTTTATATTTTCTATTTCTTTATTGAGATTCTAATTGTGTTCATGCATCATTTGCTTGAGTTAATTGAACATATTTGAGTTACTTATCAGGTAGTCATATACTTCTGTTTCTTTAGGATCAGTTTCCAGAAACTTATTTTGTTCCTTTATTGAGCTATTTCTGTTTTTTTCCTGTTTGTCCATGTTCCTTGTAACTCTGTGGTGGTATTAGTGTGTTTTTAAAAGGCCTTTTCTCCCAATGTTTAAAGACTGCCTTCACACATGGAAAGATCTTCATCAACTAGTGTGACTGGAGATTCTAGAGGCCTTTTTATATGGATGTATCTTTTCTGGATTTCTTCATGTATATTCCCATTTAGAGGGTTCGAATGTCTCTTTTCCTTCAGGAGTTTGTAATTTCTGAAGCAGAAGCACACCACTCACCTTTTTTTGTTCCCAGTGGTTTCCAGGAATCTAGAGCATACTAAGTCCCATCAGCATTCTGAGATAGGCAAGCCACAAGACACTCTCTTGGGAAACCTCAACATCCTGCCAAGTTAGAACATTGACCATCTTGTCCAAATTTCTTTTCCCTTCACCAGAGATGAGCAGAAACTGGGTATTTCCTTCTGGTCATATGGCACTGTGCCAAGGGGAGATCTATGAGAAGAGAAAGCCAAGAATTTTCCTACTGGCTTCAATGGGAATTGATTCTTACTTTACTGTAGTACAGACACCTCTTAACTGGTTTCTGGATTTTTCACAAAGGGAATTGTGTCATGTATTGTTGTTGGATCATTGTCTTCATTGGTGGAAGCAGGATCTGGGAGTTCCTATGCCTGTCCATCTTGCTGACTTAATCTCCCTAAAAACAAAGCACTCTGCCATATTCATTGTCATCATTGCTTAACACTGGTAATAAAATATTTTAAAATAACAATTATAATGATAACTAAAGTATCATTGGCTAATTCTTTTGTGTGTGTATCACTTTTTTTAATCTAGTCATCTGTCGAGATTCACTTACATGATATCTTTACTATTGTGAACAGTGCTGTAGTAAACATATGAGTGAGGATATCTTTCCATATATTAATGTCTTTCTCTGTGGGTAGAGACCCAGTAGTGGGATCACTAGACCAAATGGTAGTTCTATTTTTAATTCCCTGAAAATCTCTATACTGTTTCCATAGAAGTTATAGTAATTTTCAGCCCCACCAACCATGTATAAGCATTCCATTTTCTCTATATTTGCAACAACATTTTTTTATTTTTTGACTTTATTATTTCAGATAAATATGAGAGTACAAACGATTAGGTTACATTGTTCGCATGTGTTAGGTAAAGTTCAAGTTGTAGTTGAGCCCTTCAACCAGGGCGTGTGCTGGATACCTTTACATTGTGCCCATAAAGCACTTTCCATGTGTCAAGCACTAATTTAAAGGCTTTACACTGATGATTAATTTAAATTTAACAGATAACAAAACTGAGGTACAAAAAGGTTAAGTAAATTGTCTGATGTTATGCACCTGCCTAAAGCTATGATTTCAATCCAGGCCATCCATATCCATAGTCCATATCTAAAACCTCTGTCCTAATACTTAACATGTATTTGCAGAATGGATCAGGGAGTGCCCCCTTGAATCTTCCCTGTGTCCTCTTCCAAGTTTCACTGTTGAATCTGTTTTCAGAGGCTGTACTTGACCATTTGTCTGCATATGCCCTGTTGGTTGGGATTTTAAATTCCTTACAACTTCCTGTATAGTGTGCCCCTCTTGTGCTTTATTCTACGAAAAAATCCTTCAACTTCATTCACAGTCTTTCTCTCAAATATAGTCAACCCTGATATGAAGATAGTCATTTGAAGCTTAAATGTCACTCAGTTGTCTTCAGATCCTAGCAACCCACATTCCAACCCAAGAATGCTTAATGAAACTGTAAACTGCTTTCATCTCGCTTAGCAATGGAAAGCTAAAGGAGAGTGAGCAAATATCACCATGGAATAATGGTAGAAATTAAAGGGTTTATGATAGTTTTAGTGGTTGTCATTTTGCATATGGATTTATTTATGAACTCTTGAATTTTATTTTGGGACATTGAATTCTTCCAGTTTTTATAAGGACAAAGGTTTTTCTCAGTACACAATAAACATGGGATTGAAAAAAAACTTTAGGATTTTATTTCATCACCCTGAGAAGAATAACACTTTTCAGTAATTTAAAAACAAAAAATGCCTTCTCACTATGACTTGGTAAGCATTTAGCATTAATGTTTAATTATAGTCTATTGCAGTGGAATTCAAACTCTCATTGTCAAGCTATCTTAAAGAGAATGAGATAATTGTAAAATTTAATAGACTGTCATTTGTACTTTTATTCCAGACACTCCGAACCATTCACCGCGTACTTCCTACCTGGCAGTGATCCAGAGTTTTTCGTAAGACCGCAGGCTGGTGAACTTCTTCCTTTTCACACCAAAGGAACTCTCATCACTGTAGGATTTATACCCCAAATGTACAGCAAAACATATAAGGCAACATTAGTGGTACAGGTAAGTTATATAAAAGCAATAGTGAAAAAACATTTGATGTGACCAAAGGCATTAAATGAACAAGGAAGAAAAGGGTTTACCAAATGGTCACAGGTGAAGAATAATAATATTGCCTTATAAAAGTCAGTTTATCTCAACCGTTCTATCTTTTTTTTACTTTTGTTGAGTTGAAGAATTTTAAGTATGGTACATTTAAAAAAGGATGTCAACACTAGAGGAAATTAAGGAATTACTTCCATTCCATATTAAGGAAATGCGGGAGAGACAATAATGACTGTTAGTGATTTGTATAGTCACGTATCGTTTTTTTGTGATATACCTATTCAACAACTTTGTGAACTCTAGCTTATTTGAGGTAGAGATTTTGTAATCTTTAAGACAGAGTATTGTCAAGATGTTGAAGCCTAAAATGAAGAAATGGAACAGAAGATAAAATTTATTTTGAATTGAAAAAGAAAACATGGCCAGATGTGGTTGCTCACATCTGTAATCCTAGCACTTTGAGAGGCTAAGGTGGGAGGACTGTTTGAGCTCAGGAGTTCAAGGCCAACCTGAACAAGAGCAGACCTTATCTCTAGTAAAAAGAGAAAATTTTTCCAGAAATTGTGGCAGGCACCTGTGTTCCCAGCTACTTAGGAAGCTGAGGGCAGGCAGATTACTAGAGCTCTTGAGCATAGGAGTTAGAGGTTACTGTAAGCTAGGTTGATGCTATGGTACTCTAGCCTAGGCTGGACAACAGAGTGAGACTCTGTCTCAAATAAATTAAGAAATAAGAAGGAAAAAAAAGAAAATATGATGTAAACTGGGTCATTAATTGAGAAGTCTGTTAAAGTGATCATTTTATTCACAATTAATTTAAATACAACTTTGAAAATTTATTCAGTAACCAATAGCTTTCTACAAAATTTCACTAATAATTTATAGAAATAACTTTAAGACTAAAGACAACTTTAAAATTATTTCTGAAAAGATACCTATTACCACTGTCTGTTTTCAGTAGCATAGGCACAAGGAGCATGTTGCCATATTATAACACACAACTCCAGGTCTCAAAGTGCTTTCTAGACTTTGGAATCAAGCAATAATTAGGCAGTGCCATAGGGAAAAAATGTTATGAACAGAGAAAATAAAATGTTGAATATTGTTTGAGAAAGTTATTTCTACTTATTTATCTTTGTAAGAATCTTTACAACATAGGTAGGAAGAAGATGAAGGCTTTGTTGACTAGCTGCACCTACCCTGTTATCTTCACTGAAACTTGATTTAAAGTGATCACGTTATTGTACCTGCTTGTTTACACTAAGGGTTTAAGTAACATCTTTAAAAATATGTGTAGAGGAAAATGATTTTCTTTTATGTAGCATACAATGGACATTTCTGAAATTAACTATGTAGGAAGCTTCACCAACAAAATCTGTGCCTGGTTTCCCTGTACTGATTTAACCATTAAATTATTGATAGCACCACTGAAGGTTTTACATGAGAGAATAAGGTAATATGTGAGATCAACTGAGAATATGTCATTTCCAGTTAGCCTGAAGTGTAACAAGTTGATAAAACTTATGTGGGGAAAATCGAGATTAAAACATATACACTATTCAGGTGATGGGAACACTTAAATCCCCAACTTAAGCCCTAATTCATCCTTGTAACTAAAGACACTTGTACCCCCTAAATCAGTGGTTCTCAACCTTCCTAATGCTGTGACCCTTTAATACAGTTCCTCATGTTGTGGTGACCCCCAGACACAATGAAAATAATTTTATGGTTGGGGGTCACCACAACATGAAGAACTATCAAAGGATCATGGTATTAGGAAGGTTGAGACCCATTGCACTAAATCTATTGAAATTTTAAATAAAAGAAAAGAAAGAATTGCTACTTTGTTGATTCCACTTTTATCATGAAACATTCCAAATACATGAAGAAACAGAATAATTAAACCCCAAGCACACATCATCTAGTGTGAACACTTACCAACTCATGACTACTCCTGCTTCACCTGTATGCCCTACATGGAGAAGAGAAAGTTGTTAGTTATGGTAAACTTTCCCCTATGTTTTACTAAGCCCATGGATATTTCATACAGAATCTATCTCTCCCTCTTTATTTTCAGACAGCAGATATGTACTGGATGTATAATATCAATGGATTACCTCAAGGATCTGCACCCATCATGAATGTAAAACCCAAAGTTGATACTTTTAACAGAAAGTATAACCCTAAGCCACCTCGTCGACGCAATTACATCAGAGAAAATGCTAAAGTCGTAAGGACAGGAACCTCTTCTAACAACAAAGGTGATAATTCGACTATGAAATAATAAATAAAAATTCATACCTAAAGTATTTCTCGGTCTCAAGTAGAATTTTCATGACTTTTATCTCCTCTGTTGGAATATTTCTGAGAAATAATTGTTTGATTATAATAGGCCTTCTGTGTTTTCTTGTCTTTTAAAATGTGACTTAATCTATTCTCTGATTGTGTCATGACTCACTTCTGAGTTATGTACATCTTGTAAAAAACAGGCTATAGCAGGGGGTGCCTGTGGCTCAAAGGAGTAGGACACCAGCCTAATATACCAGAGGTAGCGGGTTCAGACTGGGCCCTGGCCAAAAAAACAAAAAAAATTAAAAACAGGCTTTAGTTGCAAATTTGGGGATTTATTCAGTTTTAAAGCATAGGAGTACATTTGTAATAAAATCGACACATAATTTCAATGACAACAATATTTCTAACCAGTGTTGCTGTTAAAGCTACATTTCTATCCCAGATATTGCTTATTAGTCTTTATTTTTTAAGTGAGAAGTACAAATTATATATATTTACAGTACAAAACACAATATTTGAAATACATGTACACTATAGAATGGCTAACCTGAACTAATTAATACATGCATTACCTCACATATTTTTTCTGGTGAGAACACTTAATATATGCTCTTAGAAATTTTCAAGTATACATTGTTTCTGACTATAGGCACCATGATATAAAAGTAATACCTTGAATTTATTCATCTTATCTAACTGAAGTTTTCTGTCCTTTTGCCAACATTTATTAATCCTCCCCATCGTCTCTTTAGCCCCTGGGAATCAGCATTATACTCCCTGCTTCTATAATTTCATCTTTTTTAGATTCCACATACAAGTTCAGACAATGAAATTTGTGAACTCATCCTAGAAAACAGTGCTACACATCTTACTGACGAAGATCACTACGGTCACCTTCAATGTACTCCCTTTGGCCACCAGGTGACCAAAGTGATATGCGGCAATGAGGCATGTAGCACTATTTCTAGGATAAGTTTGCAAACTTAATTGTCAGAACTCATATGACAACAGCTCTGAAAACGCCATTCTGTAAAAAGAGTGCCAAAATTGCTCTGAAGGATGAATTAGACTCTAGCAGTGGTGCATAGCTTCCTAAGGGCAGTCTCTCAAAGGTTAGATCTCTAATAACCTCAATCAGAAATGAAAAAGGAAAAATAACAACAGATACCACAGACATACATGAGATTATGTCTGACTACAAAAAAAACTCTATGCCCAGAAATTTGACAATGTGTAGCTAATGGACCAAGACCTGGAATCACACAAGATTCCTAGACTTAACCGGGGAGAAATAGATCTCTGAAATAGAGCAATTTTAAGCACTGAGATTGAAAAAACAATAAAAAGCTCCCAACAACAACAACAAATAAAAGCTTTGGAGCAGATGACTTCACACCAGAATTCTATGAAACCTTCAAAGAGCTTGTACCTATACTGAAGAACCTATTCCAAAATTTTAAGGAAAAACACTTCCCCAACACATTCTATGAGGTAAACATCACCCTGATGCCAGAACCCGAAAAGGACCTCACTATAAAGGAGAACTGGAGACCAATTTCACTAATGAGTATCAAATCAAAAATACTCAATAAAACCCTAGCAAATTGACTCCTTACAGCTATGCATTTAAAAAAATTATACATTGTGATCAAACAAGCTTTATTCCAGGGTTGCAAGGTTGGTTTAACACACACATACCCATAAATGTAATTCACCACATAAATAGAAGCAAAAACAAAGGACATACGATCCTTTCAATAGATGCAGAAAAAGCATTCGACAAAATTCAGTATCCTTTTCAAACAAGAACTCTTAAGAAAATAGGTATAGAGCACACATTTCTTAAACTGACTGAAGCCATCTATGATAAACTCACAGCCAATATCACACTGAATGGGGTAAAATTGAAAGCTTTCCACTTAGAATGGGAACCAGAGGATGATGTCCACTATCACCACTACTATTCAGCATAGTTATAGAAGTTCTAGCCAAGGCAAGAGATGGATATAAGAGCGTCCAAATAAGTGAAGAGGAGATCAAACTCTTCACTCTTTACCAATGATATAATCTTATACTTAGAAAAGCCCAGAGACTCAACCGTAATACTTCTGGAAGTAATCAAGAAATACAGTAATGTCTCAGAGTATAAAATCAATGTCCACAAGTCAGTAGCCTTTGCACACACCAATAAGAGTAAATTTGAGAATCCTCAGTTCACTGCAGGGCCGCTAAAGGAAAGGTTTCAGTTGCTCTTTATGGAAGCTCCAGTGGAGTGGATGTCCAAATAGAGGAGAAAAGTAGTTCCTGCTTCAATCTGCGAGGTTCTGGCATAGAACCAGAGTGAGGGTCTGGAAGAGGGAGAGGCAGCCAGTCTAGGGATAAGGAAAGGACTCATTATAGGGAAGAGGACAGTGGAGTCTGAGCAGGAGTGAGCTCAGCCCACACACAGTTGCAGAAGCAACTGTTAGCCTTATCAGTAGAGCTGGAATGGGGAAGTAACTGAAGTGGCATATCCTCCGGGAAGACTCATCGCTAGAGCAGGTGAGAATTATGGGCATATTGCTGGTGTGGGCCAGGATATAGGTGGGGTGTTTCTGGAAACTTTAGCTTGAAGCAGTCCAGGAATCTGGGGAGGGGATTGCCTGTTTTCTAAAATGGCTGCACTCTTGTCAGGGTTATGAGAATTCCTTTCCCACACAATCATCTCTCAGCAACCACAGGTGGAAGAGGGAAAGGAGAGGAAAAGAGTCTAAATGGAGGAAAGCTAGTGTTCTAGTCACCTATATCCCTCTCTGAATGCCGCCCACCCATAATGTCTAGGCTCTGGGGTCACACAGATACCTGGGCACCCACCAGACTCCTGTGGTTACTGTAATCTGGTCCAAACTTTGGGAAATGTTTGCTAGGAATGATCAAGATGAAAAATGAGAGGCCTCCATGGGGAAGACAAAAGTGCAAGGTCAGTGGAAAAGTGGTCTTAAGGGCACTGGCAGCCTGATGCTTCATCCTCAAGAAGTTCCCAGTTCCCTGGTGGCAACAGCTTTTGGGTGTGTGAGGGTAGTAGGACTCTCCAGCAGCTTGGGAGCCTGCTGACTGCCAAAGATGTGGGGTGTGGGGAGAAATAAACCACTCCACCTGCCCTTCTCCTGGGACTCTAAGTCTCTTTGGGGCTTCACTCTCCTGATATCCTGTTCACTCATGTTCTACTCAGCAACCTCTTCCCATGGAATCTCTAACAGGTTAGTTATAACAAGTTCTTTTCCAGTCACCCCTCCCCATCCCTCTAAGTCACAGCCTGGAAGGTCCACAATATACATAACAAACTACTGGACTCTGGGTATATGGCTAGTGGTTTATTTCTAATTCCATTCTGTTTGTTTTTATGTAAGATGGCTTTTCTATGTAGCTGATTTCAAAATTTTTTAATTTATTTTTAGTTGTTAGAATTTTGACTCTAATGTGTTGTTTGTGTGAATTTCTTTGCATTTTTTCTGTTTGGAGTCTTCTCAACTTCTCAGATCTGTTTATGTATGTCTTTGCCAAATTTTGAAAATTTTCATTATTTCTTCAAGTAAATTTTCAGCACTATCATTTATCTCCTATCTTTCTAGGACTCTGATGATATGAATATTAGATATTTTGATATAGACACAAAAGTTGCTGTGGGCTCTGTTAATTTTTATGTCTATTTTCTTTTTTTATTCAATTATGATAGTTTGTATTGTTCTGTCTTCCAGTTCATTGATCCATTCTTTGTCTCTTATATTTTGCCTTTGGGCTTATTTATTGGGTTTTGTTTTTTCATTATTGTTTTAAATTTGCACTCAGTTCTAGCTTATAACATCCATTTGTTTTCTGAAACTTACTAGTTCTTTTTTTATGTTCTCCACTGTTTTAATTTGTTTCAAATATACTTATTGAAGATTTCATTGTTTATTGAAGACAGCTTCTTTAAAATATTTTCAGATCATTCTACTGTCTCTTCGTTCTTGTTTTTGGCATCTTTTGATCAACTTTTTCATTTTCAGATTAAGACTTTTTTGGTTCTTGGTATAAAGAATGAAGAAAGTATCATGTTATTATCTGTTTCTAAATCATACTTAAACTTTCTATTTTAATTGGTTTCATGTGACAGCAGTCCAGCAAGGGAATTCGAATATCATAGTTTTACAGCTAGGTGGCAGTTTAAATCCAGTTTCCCCACGTGGCCCCTTTTGACACTTCAGGTGGAAGTTCTTCTCATTGCTGCTGGGTGGGGTAGAAGTTCCAGCTCTCCACTTGGCCTCCACTGCCACCTCTCTACTGAAAAGTAGGAGTGCCTGGTTACTACTCTTCACATGGCCTTCAGTGACATCACAAGGACGGTGTCATCACAAATGAGATGCAGTAGAAGTCCTGTTTCGTTCCTATCCTTCCTCTGTTACCATCCCAGTTGAACATGCATGCCACGTGCTCTCTCCTGACACTGTGAGTAGAGCATAGTCACATTACCAACCAGCAAGGATGAATATCAAATTCCTGCTCCTACTTGGCCTTCTCTAACATCACCTCCGTGAGGGGTTTTGGTATCTTATTTCTATCTGACAAGTATGAGTGTGAAGAGTGTGAGCATTAAAATCTAGATTTCCATTTGGCCTTTAATTTTGAGGCTGAGGGTGAGACCTCCCTCAGTGTTTTTTATGGTATTTATCTGGAGTATAGTAGTTATTGTCTAAAAGTTTTTTGTCTCCACCCGGGCCTGGCCGGGGTTCGGCTCTGAGGGCTGAGGCGGGTACGGAGGTGGCAGCTATGGGAGGAGGCGGCCCAGGAGGTAGAGAAGCTCCAGCCCAGACCAATCTCCGTGTTCTGGGCCACGACCCTGATCCTGCAGCGCATTGAGAAGCGAAGCTAGCTGGATGAGGCACTGAACCCCAGTCGGGGACTGTGTGGAGCCCCCTGGAGCTAAGATCAGGATGTTCCACTTTGTGAGCAATGCAGAGCCTGAGGATCCCATGTTCCTGATGGACCCCTTTGCTGT